AAAATGCTAAAATAATGAATACACACATTTAAAACACTATTAGACACTCATTTATACAGTTCATCAGCAAAAAAAAGTTAATTTAGACGTTACTTGCTCTTTAATTATTGGTACATAACAAACTTTGCATTATGCATTCCCTCAACAGAGCCATCTCTCATCATCTGTGGCCTGGACCCTGGAAAGAATATGTTGCAAATGACATAAAGGTGAGATGTTATTGATGGACACGTGGTTCTGACGCACTGCCCTGCTTGTTTTCAGCTAACGCCACCTTGGTGTAGTCGGTAATGGTAGGGACATTTAGAAAATATGTCATTGAACAGTTCTGGGCGTCTCCTTGTCAGATGTAGTTATTGCCAAGTAACATTTACTGATTTAACACATATTTTATATCATAGGGATTGCCAAAACAAGGATTGTCCAACAACTGTGGAATGTTTGCAGTGATGGTAACACAGTCGCTTCCACTCATTATCATCATCATATTGTTTTCTGGGTTTTATAATCATTTCATTTTTCTCAATAGTATGCATTCTACTTTGTGATGGGAGCATCTTTTGATTTCAGTGACGTAAGGTCACTGATGAGAGTAAATGCTTGGTGGTGGACTGCTTCACTAAATTGAACGTTTTCATATCCTACAGATGGACATGATGAAGATAAGGAGATGGTGGTGTGTAGTTCTTTTAAGAAACTTCCCTGTGAAGTAAGGACAATAATTCGCTATGCTCTTTACTACATCGTATTACACCAATGGCTACTTTGTTTAAAGACTTTTATTTTGTCATGTTTAGAGATCCAGAGACGAACTACAAAGAGAGAGAAAGCGGAGAAGAGTAGAGGGTATAGCAGCAGAGAAGGCTGACTGTGGAACTGTTCAGGTAGTTTGTGATCACCTTGTTACTATAAGTGTTTTCAGTGTTTTTGCACTAAGTTTGTGTTTTGTAAATGCAATAGTGATGTTTGGAACTGACTCAGTCTTTAAATAGTCATTTATAGTTTGCCAGTCTCAGTGTGCCGAAGACCGCACATATGCCAAAACCACAGAGGAAGATCCTGAGGTTAGTCTCCTAATTCACAGCATGCATAATTAAGAATTGTCATTTATGTTTACTTTTCAGGAGACCAAGAATCTGAATAAGGGGGTTTAGAATGGTCTGTATCAGGGCTCCTGGAACAGATGAAAGCCAAAAGAAAATTTCTTATGCCTTTTAGAGGCTCAAAACAGCGTTTTAGATTGCTCATAAACAGCATTATTGGTCTCGTTTAAAGTTGAACTGAATAAAACAGAAACCACCTAAATGTTTCTTTACCTGGAAATAATACTTATTTAAAACAGCATTTTGTATTATGTTTGTAATTATGTCAGGAAAAATACTGAGAAATTTGTTGTTACTTGTTGTTTTATGGTCTTGCAGATACAGATACAAAGGACACTGCCAATTTTACAGGCAAGTCTCACTCATATTCTGTCATGGCCTGCGTCTGCCCCTTCCTTCATGTGTCTCTTGATGTTTCTCCATCCCTCTCTAGATTCCCTTCTGTGTCTCATAGCGCCCTCATGTGTCTTTTGTCTGCGTCTCAGTTAAGTGTGTTATGTTGTTGCCCTTTTAAATCATTCCTCCCAGGTCAGCTCCAGCCTCTTTGTCCCCAGCTCAGTGTATGTGTGTGTGAGTGTATGAGTGTGTGTGTGTGTGTGTGTGTCCTCCCAGGTCAGCTCCAGCCTCTTTGTCCCCAGCTCAGTGTGTGTGTGTGTATGTGTGTGTGTGTGTGTGTGTGTGTGTGTGTGTGTGTGTGTGTGTGTGTGTGTGTGTGTGTGTGTGTGTGTGTGTGTGAGAGAGAGAGAGTGTATGTGTGTGTGTGTGTGTGTGTGTGTGTGTGTGTGTGTGTGTGTGTGTGTGTGTGTGTGAGTGTGTGTGTGTGTGTGTGTGTGTGTGTGTGTGTGTGTGTGTGTGTGTGTGTGTGTGCATGTGGTATTTGCCCTCCTCTGCTTCTGTTTTCCCAGTTAGATTATTATATTCACCTGTCTTCCCTCCAGCCCTCACTCCACACACCTGCTGCCATTTTCCCTAATTACTCCTCCCTGTGTATTTAAGCCCTGTCTTGTCTCTGTCTTGTGTCGGTCCATTGTGGTAATTCTGTCAGTCTCTCGTTCCTAGTCTCTAGTGCTTCCCGTGTCTCAGTTGGATCGCTAGTTTATTTTGGATTTTGGACATTATTGGACTTTGGCTCCCTGCCCTGGATTAATTCTTCTTTTCATCTTTCAAAAATAAAGGATTTTATTTTACATCATCTCCTGCCTCGTGTCATCCTGGGTACTGCATTTTGGGTCCTACAAACCTCGTAACATGACATATTCATGTTGTCTTGTAATTTTATGACAGTCTCACGGTGCACATGTGTGTTGTTTCCATAGACACCCTGTCTTGTGCTTGGAGGTGATCCTGGAGGTGATCCTAACAGAAGGAGATGCAGCTTACCTGTCATTGGCACTGACCTGCAAACACTTCAAAACCATTGTTTCAGATCCTGTTTTTAGGAAGAAGGCCCACTTTGCCTGGCTGGATGGTAATAAATGACCATTGATGTAAATTAATTGGCTTAATTATCATTTTCTTAATAGGTGAGATTCACTGGAGCAGGTTTTCTGCAACCTTCAAGTCTGAGCACGGTCTATACAAAGACTGTGTGGGCTTCACGGATAGATACCTGGACACTTCCCTGGCTGTCAGCACTGAGCATGTTCAAATGTTCAAACATTGCCAAATAGTCCAGTGAAACATTTCACATTGCAGCAAGTGCACTCAAATGTGTTTTTTTTGTAATGTTGAAAAAAACGGCTGTTTTGATTTTTTTTAAACAATATCCTGTTGTTCTTCTGTTTGAGAATAAAGTTTCTTGAAAAATTGTTTGCAGTTTATATAAAAATGACTCGAATGAACTTAATAAAAAATCAAATTACAGATAAAACTCAAAACATGAGAATATAGTGAAAAAGTTGATTTATTTCAATCATAAGACTCATTCCATGCAAAGCCAGATATTTCAGCCTTTATTTGTTATAATTGTGATAATTATGGCTTACATGATGAAAACCCTGCATTCAAAAATTCAGACAATTAGAATATTACATTAAAAAAATCCAACACTGCTTTTAAATAAATTGTCAGACATAAGTACTTTGCAATCGGTTTTGCTTTTACTAAAATAATGTGCAACATTCTAATTTTTGGAGTTTCACATGTTTTTAGAAATTATATTGATATGAAACTAATATCCATAAAAGTCGTTCTCAGCAGCTGTTCAACAGAGCCATCCTTTTGGAAGTTATTCTTTTTGCTAAAATGGAAAGTTTTCTCCACGCATTTACCCAATCTTGTCATTAGGCTACATGATAAAATAACAAAAAAATTAAATCAGGACAACTCATTTCATTTGGAGACACACTTAGGAGAGCTGATGTTACATCTTTGGAGGAATTAGGTTTAAATATCAGTTTTGAATATATGAATCATCTCATCAAACTCAAATGGTTAAGGTTTCCTACAAATAGTATAAAAATAGGCCATTTGTAAAAATCATCCTTATGAGATTTCGAATGACATTGGCGTTTCAAAAATACCACACCAATTTAAAAAAATTAAAGTGATGTGAAAAGTGTGAAGAATCACAGTCATTCTTTGATGAAGATTATTAAAAGTTAGTTAGTTTTCATAGATTTTTGACTGTGTCATGTTTAGTACAACGACGTACGAAAAATATTGTAATAAACTCTAACTATTAATGAATCAGAAATATAGAAATTACGATAGTTTACCGAGAATTATATTGTTTCATGAACAGTTTGAATAAAGATTTTTCCAACATTTTTTCGACATTAGCGCCTCCTTCAGTTCCGGAAAGCAATGGCAACGTTTCCATATATGGTATTGTTAAATGATAAATGACCCGCACTTGTATAGCGCCTTAAGGACTCCAAGGCACTTTACACTACAGTGTATCATTCATCCATTCACACACACATTCATACACTGGTGGGGATGAGAGGCGAGGCTGCAGAGCACAGGCGCCACCGGACCCTCCGACCACCACCAGCAGGCAAGGTGGGTTAAGTGTCTTGCCCAAGGACACAACAGCAGAGTTCTCTGTCCGGAGCCGGGAACAAACCTGCAACCTTCCTACTGGACAACCTACTGCTGGCCCTGTTTCCATATATGGTATTGTTGTGCCCAGGCCCACTCCCCGCCCCGTGCTACAAGCTGTAGCAAACTGTACTTAACTGTACTTTGCAAAAACGTGTTATTGGAGCCTATGTAAACCCATTGTACTTATAAATATGTTTGTCGATTGTGATAATCAAAACTCAATTCCCTGACCGGGAATCGAACCCGGGCCGCGGCGGTGAGAGCGCCGAATCCTAACCACTAGACCACCAGGGAAGCCGTACTGATAATGTAGTCATAACTTATTTTAACATACATATCTAATTTGTGGTCAAGGAAACTACTTATCTGTACATGTCTGATTGAACTTTACCTCCACCAGTCAGTCGGTGATGGTCAAGTGTCACTAACGTGCCGCGTGCTAATACTTCTAGTAGTTACACAACTGTCTCATTTACTAACACTAGTCTAACATGATACTTTTTCTTCAGTGGTCCCGACAGTACCGAAGGTAGCTGGTTCATTCAGCTTGCTCTCAGTGCTAGATAGCAAAACTAAACATAGCTAGCACCCTACAAGGTGTTGCTTTATCAGTTACGGCCAGAATATATGCAACACTGAGATCTATATCCTAAAAAGGAAAACACTTGCGATTTCGTCGCAATTCGACCTCGTGGCGCAACGGTAGCGCGTCTGACTCCAGATCAGAAGGTTGCGTGTTCGAATCACGTCGGGGTCATGTATTTTCTTTTACTTATCGAATTCGAGCTTTATTTATGTTGCTTGATCACATTACGTAACCCTAACCCTAACCCATCACTAAATGATTCAGAATCAGAATTAGGATCAACTTTATTGCCAACTCCTCAGCTTCCTGAAGCACAGAAATTTGTCTCCACAGTACAGCCTGACCAACATTACATATAGAATTTTACTTTGTTTTACACTTATTAGTCGAAAGATGATGAAATTGGTTCTTAAAAACATGTAATCATTTTCATAACGACTCACCCTTAATTTAATTAATGTGTCACAACATCCTGAAGCATAATGCTCATGAAATTCCATAGTTTTATTTTTCCCATAAGCAAATAAATAAAAACATGGCTTACGTGTTGAAGAGATACACCCACTATCAAATAGCTTTCTTCTTGTGTCACAAATAAAAATAGGACTGAGTCATCTAGTCAGGATGTGAATTATTTTAAGTATTTAACTCTATTTATTCAACTCACTTTTTGATTTTCTTGCTTTATTTTGATAGTCTTTTCTGATGCCTCAAATTGAGTTAAAACCATGTTTTACTGTAAAAGATAAAGATACAGGTTTATCATAACGTAGGCTTAACATAGTCATCAGAAGTCTGAGTTGCTGGAAAAAGCTGGTCGCTATATGGCTGCTTAGTTTGAAGAATAACAAGACAGAAGAGTCACAGATGAGCACAACAAGTCACCAAACGTTTAACACTGAACAGGACTTCTGGACGGTTCTAGCTGGATGAGCCGGAGCGTGACTTGTGGATGCTCATTTTCTTGCGGGTGTTGTCGGTGCAGCGCTCCAGGATGAGTTCAGGACTGGGCCTCGGGGGGATGACTGGAGCCTCCTTCTTCAGCTCACTCTCAGAGCTGGATGTAGACTGTTCAGGAATGTTATCTGCCCAAGACAAATAAACAGAATTCACATTGTGCCCTTCATAGTTAACATCCAACACTCCAAATTGAGTCTTAAATACTCTGATTCTTCATTTCCTGAAGTGGAGACTTTGCAGAGGTTTTGGAGTTCTTGTCTGGAAACCGGTTTCCTCGTTCCTGCAGATACCGGCGGCTGTTCTTGCGGTAGGCTTCCTGGCTGAGACGCTTACGAGATTTATTGTGGATACTTTTGGCATTTCTGATGGTGGACCTGAGACAGATGGAGGAGAGGAAGTCAGGAGAGGGAAGTTTTGGAAAATGTTACAACATTTTATACCAGAGTAAACCCTGCTGAAAAATACAACATGATCGGCGTTACCAGCATATGTTGTGTTTTGGTGCTGGTTAAGCTGGTGTGCTGGTCCAGGATGGGATGCCAGTCCACCATCCAATCACTAGCATCCCATGCTGGACCAGCTAAACCAGCACCAAATCTAAACATATGCAGGTAACCAGCTATGGTCCATACTGTTTCTTTCTGCAGGGAACACATGTCCAGTTGAAACTGTTGACATTTCAGCAGGTTGCATCTTCTTGTGTGATGTTTGTTTTATTATGTAACACTATAATATCATAATAATAATCATTTTAATAATACATTTTATTTAAAGCACCTTTCAAGGAGCTCAAGGTCGTTGTACAACAAATAATAGAAATCAACTGAAAAGCAAGCTAAAACAAATCACTCATGAAAACCCCTAGGGAATACAGAACAAAGTCACATAACAAAAACAACAGCACTTTCTCTATGCAGCCTTGAAAAGGTGAGTTTAGATTTGAAAGTGGTGAGGGAGTCAGCGTTCCAGATGGCTTGTAGCAGAGAATTCCCAAGGTGAGGAGCAGAGAAACTGAAGGATCTGAGGCCCGTGGAGGGATACTAGAGGGCAGCATAGGACTGGATATGGCCAGGGGCGCCTCCAAAAAATGTTGATAGGGGTGGCCAGATGGGACCAAAGAAAATTTTAGGGTGGCACACCAAATTGGTCCTTGTGGTAACTCTGGGAGAGTTTAGCCTGTGGCGATGTAATGCATTGCTTCTTTATTCATTTATATATATATATATATATATATATATATATATATATATATATATATATATATATATATATATATATATATAATATATATATATATATTAGGGCTGCACAATATATTGAAAAATTATCGTCATTGCGATAACAGGACGTGCGATAGGCCCATTGCAAAGCACGTCAAAAACGGAGATAAATGTTTGGTTCAAACATTTCCATCTGTGTCATACATCAACTTATTGTAAACCAGCTCTGTTTTTTACTCAGAAGTATTATTTGACCAATCAAATGTAGCCCTTCTGATATGCGGCCAATCAGATGGTTCCGTTCACGTAATACGCCCGCCCCCTACATAGACTCTTTTGGAAAGCAACACCCAAACAGAGTATGCGGCGCTGTTTCCTTGTTTCTGGATTCAGCGCTGCTTTCAAACGTGAACGTAACTCCGCTTGGTGTCGTTCATCATTTTTACCGGGCTGACTCCGACACGTGCCGGTGAACCAACCCACCTTCATGTCGCTAGTGTTAGCCCCAGGCTCCGGTTAGCTTCCAGCTAAAAGGCTACAGCACTCTCCTCCCTGTCCCACCCTGCTAAAGAGGGCCTGGAAAAGTTCCCCCACACATCAAAGTGATTTTTCATTTATGAGCTTTTATAACCTTGTTAATCAGGATAGTTGATTTGCTGCGCACATAAACTGTCAGTCAGAAGCTCTGCTAGTCAGTTATCTTAAGAGGAGCTAGTTCAATTTGTTAGCTTGTTATCAGAATCAGTTGCAGTTTCATCATCTGAGCTGCTTTTTAAGATCTAGGTAAACTTGTTCAATTTGGGGTTAAAACCAAATGTTTTCACATATTTTCCATGTAGTTTTTTGCCAGTTCCTCTTCTGAAAGGTAGACAATTGTTTTTCTCTTTCCCTCAGAAAATCTTAATATTCTCCTAGTTTGGCCCAGCACAGTTCACTTCCCAATTACAGCAACAGCCTTATATCATAACCACATAAGTGGAGAAAATGTTCAGTAGCAATGAGAGAATTTACTGTTGCATTTAAGTGATGTTAACTATTATTTAACATTTAAACTTATTGTCTGATTTTTTTATTTATTCTAAAAACCCTGGTAAGGGATGTTTTTCTGTATTTGGAGCATCAGAAAATGTTTTATGGTGGTGGTGATGTTTTAAAGTCACTGAGAAACTGCATGTATGCAGTTTGTTGTTTTGCTGCTAATACAGTAGCAGGTGCAGCTGCATATTTTTGCAATATAAATGTTATGTTGTAATGGAATTCATGCATTAGTTTTTGTTTGCTTTGAACCCAGAGCAGACGTCACATGCCAGACGACATCAACACTGCATACTTTAGTATTTGTTCATTTATCGTGAGTAATATTGATATCGCAATATTAAGCACTGTTATCGAATATCGCAGGTTTTCCTAATATCGTGCAGCCCCAATATATATATATATATATATATATATATATATATATATATATATATATATATATATATCCCCAAAACATTTCACTTAAATTTAATGAACTAAACATTTCAGAAAAATACATTTCAGTTATTTAAAAGGTTATTCCAAATTTAAACATATATATTTTTGTTTAATTCACCTGTTGCTGTGTTTACAAATAACTATGGTGATAAAAACTTTTTAAAAATGGTGAGCAGCAGAAAAAGATTATATCTTTACTCAATAATCGTATTATTGTTTCTTTGTTTTACAATTATGTCTTGAATAAACAAGATCAATTTATGGTTTGACTGAACATTAATATGATTTATTAACGCTGGCTTTTTCTGGGGGGGGGGGGGGGGCATCAATTTTCTAGGGGTGGCCATGGCCACCCCTGGCCACCCCTTGGGGGCGCCCTTGGATATGGCATTTTCAGCATTGAAAAATCCATGTTTGGCTAAAATCAGATGTCAATCAAATGCCATGCTGAATGAAGTGTGACTTTTATTCTATGCATTTCATACCAACTTTTTTCTAAACTGATATTATTACAAAGACCAGGATACTAGAGTAACTTCTGCAAAGGGAAATTAAAATCATCATCTGTGGTTAGAAAGTGTCAGGCAATTAAAAAACTTCCCTTTAATTCAACGTCACACAAGAAAAAAAGAACGAGTGGCAACACAGGAGCTACGTGCACAGTGGCTTGTGTAAAGTCACCACAGTGAAAACTGTTTCAGTTTAGAAACATATTTAGTCCAGGTTTAAATAAACAAACCCCGTGGCTCCCGTACCTGCGTGGTGGAGGTTTCTGTGCCCGCGGGTTCGTTCTCAGAGACTCGTTTTGGCCGTCGGCCTTCTGCAGGTACATGGAGGGGAAATGACCCGTCTCATCTCTTTTTCTGATTAAAAAAGAAATGCATCAGTAAATGGTATTATTCTGGTCTTTACAGTAATAATAATCTTAAATGTTTTATGTGTTTTTAGCACCTAATTGTTCACATTTTAGAAAGTACTCATGCAGGATTAAATAAACCACATGAAAACTAAAACTACAAAACAGATTCTTAATGAGCTGGTTTGGACCACAGGAGCTAAACTACAACTTACAAATGACATGCAGTAATAGTCATGAGTAGTAATAGTAATAGCATAGTAGATACATCAACTGGACTGAAACCTCTCAAAAATCAGACAAAGTTAAAACATTTATCTCTCATAGAACTTCAAATACTCTGAAGAAAGGAAATTGCACAACAGGTAAACCAGGAACTTTTACAGTCCTCGTTACAGATGAGGATTAGGGTCACTGAAACAAAAAAAGAAAAAAAAAAAAAAAGAAAATAAAGAATGATGACTTTAATAATTCTGAGATTCAAGTCAGAATTCTGAGAAAAAAATATCTGAATTCTGAGAAAATATTTCAGAATTCTGAGATTAAAGTCAGAATTCTGAGAATAATTAATCGGAATTCGGAGATCACAGTCATAAGTCTGAGAAAAATAAATTCAAAATTCTGAGAAAAAAAGTCAGAATTCTGAGAGCAAAAATCAGGTTTCTGAGATTAAAGTCAGAATTCTGAGAAAAATTTCTTAATTCTGAGAAAAAAATATCTGAATTCTGAGAAAATATTTCAGAATTCGGAGAAAAAAATCTGATTTCTGACATTAAAGTCATAATTCTGAGAAAAAAAGTCAGAATTCTGAGATTAAAGTCAGAACTCTGAGAAAATATTTCAAAATTCTGAGAAAAAATATCAGAATTCTCAGAAAAAAGTCAGAATTCTGAGAAAATTTCATTCAGAATTCTGAGAAAAAAGTCAGAATTCTGAGAAAAAATATCAGATTTCTGAGAAAAAAATATCAGAATTCTGAGAAAAAAACTGAATTCTGAGAAAATATTTCAGAATTCTGAGAATAAAGTCAGACTTCTGAGAAAAAATATCAGAATTCTGAGGAAAATTATCAGAATTCTGAGAAAAAATATCAGATTTCTGAGAAAAAATGTTCAGAATTGTTAGATTAAAGCCAGATTTCTGAGAAAGAAAAATTCTGATTTCTCAGGGAAATAAATCAGATTTCTGAGATTAAAGTCAGAATTCTCTCTTAATTTTTTTTTCTTCTTATAAATGGCCCTAATCCTCTTCCGTACTACTTGGACGGATATATTAGCATTTTTTTTATGAAACCGTGTTTGTGCTCCTCTTTCTTTACCTGACAACCCACCAGCCGTCCAGCAGCTTGTGGATGACCTCAACAGTTTCTCCGAAACTCAGAGAGATCTCGTCCTCCTCCTCGGCCTTGTACGCCTGATTGGTGACGTACAGCTCTCCTGCAGGGACACACGGTACTGTTACCACACACACACACACACACACACACACACACACACACACACACACACACACACACACACACACACACACACACACACACACACACACACACACACACACACACACACACACACACCAAGTCTTACCTTCGTAGTTGGGTTCAGGCTCCTCTGTCTCCTCCGGTCCATCCAGAGGCTCCAGGTAGGTGGCAGGAACCCATCCTCGTTTGGACTCACACTGGCAGAACCACCAACCTGAACACACGAGATGTTTGGGTTGTTAGGGGGCGCTAAAGGAACAACTGTAAACTTCATGATCTTATGCTTTTGATATTTTTTCTCACCGTTCTCATTTTTCTCCACAATTTCCACAAAGTCTCCGATGTGCAGAGCGATCTCATATTTGGTCGTCTTTTCAAAGTCAGCAACGACCCGGTAGGTGTCCAGGATGATGGGTCCGGAAATCTCTGCAAGGCAACATGAAAAACATCAGAAGAAAGTGATTTAATCTCTCATTGTGTCCAAAGTGCTCCTCTCAGAGGGATGACTTGCATTTTCCACAATGATGAATTTTGTCTCCCCAGCGAGCTGCTGATGTAAATCAGCACTTTTAAAAATCTTTAGCTCAATGTTTTTTTTTTTTTTTTTTACCAATTTACCTTTTTTGTACCTATTTGGAGGAGTTCACCAAAATTCACCAAAGAAAATTCTTCGCATATTTATCTTTTTTTTTTTTTTTTGTGGCCCACATGGACTACTGACAGTTTTGGCATCTTGAAAAGGACAGCCCTGTCATACAAACTCATAACTCCCCTTAAATCACTAACAGCTGAAAGTCATTTAGGATAGGATCCATTTGTTCTGAAAAAATTCAAACACACAAAGTTCAGATCCATAAAAAAATGAAAACAATTCACGGATTCATGGAAGCTTTTTGGAGATGTTAAAGGATTCCTACCAGATGCAATTCCTCTGGTGAGTTCCCTAGACTCCACAGGCGTCTCGTTCCTTTTTAATCTGTAGGTAAAACGTTCAGTTATAAGTCGTTTTACCAGGAAACCTGCAGGTTACAGATCAGACGTGCATGATTGACGCTGACGTGTTTGGTGCTGGAGGGTTCTCGTCTTCGGGTCGGACTTTAAAGAAGTTGGAAAGGTGTTTGCAGCGGGAGATGTGAGCCGGCAAGTTGACAAGTGATTGGCAATACTCGGCCAACGTTGTCTTCCTGTCCTCTCTGGATTTCTGGCTGTCCACCCACCGTGGAGCTAAAGTCACAAATGAAAGCTGCTCATCAGAACAACAAATGCTATCGCCAAAAGATTTGAACAGCATTTAAAAAATGACCTTTTTACAAAATACAGCAGAGACCAGCTGATGCAGATGCAGCAGTTGCATCATATTTTGTCAGCTTCTTCTTTTCCGTTCTGCAACTAGCCAGGTGTTTTGCAACGAGCATTTCTCAAAGGCAGTGTGTAATGTTGCAGTTCTGTTTTCATCTAAGTGGCTGGGGGAACTTGGAACAGGAACAGAAGAAGCAGCAATGAAAAATTTGCACGTTTCTTACTTTAACGACAAGATGCTGCTAAAAAGTGAAACTGTGGAAATGCCTCACATCCTTCCATCGGTTTGGTGGGCCAATCAGAGAGCCTTCCATCGGTTTGGTGGGCCAATCACAGCCCTCTATCGATTTGATGGGCCAATCACAGCCCTCTATCGGTTTGGTGGGCAAATCACAGCCCTCTATCGGTTTGATGGGCCAATCACAGCCCTCTATCGGTTTGGTGGGCAAATCACAGCCCTCTATCGATTTGATGGGCCAATCACAGCCCTCTATCGGTATGGTGGGCAAATCACAGCCCTCTATCGGTTTGGTGGGCAGGATGTTACTGCGACTGAGCGAAAAAACAAAGATGGGGGCGGCTTGTTTGAAACGGCTTCAACACCAACTTTGGACTGCAACCACCCTCTGAGTGAAGAGCAGATAGAGGCACTTAAGTCCTTTATTTGCTTCTTCTACAACAGTGGATGTCGGACTGCCTCATTGACTGGCATCTGTAGCGATGAGTACATCATGTTGTTTGTTGTCCAAAAGCATGAGGAGAGAGTTTGAAAGACAACCGCAGATCCCGCCCCAGTACTGAGCTCTGTCTATGGGTCATGGCCAGGCTATGGTAAATGTGCATCTGGTGATATTTCTCTAAGAGGTTCATTAAATCCACCCAGAGTTCAGGGAGGTTTAACACAATCACACTGCTGTCCCAACAAAGCTTTTATTTTGGGGCGACGGTGGCACAGGAGTTATGTGCTCGCCCCGTAATCGGAAGGTTGCAGGTTCGAGCCCCGCTCAGTTTGTCGCTGTCGTTGTGTCCCTGGGCAAGACACTTAGCCCACGTTGCCTGCTGGTGGTGGTCGGAGGGACCGGTGGCGCCAGTGCTCGGCAGCCTCGCCTCTGTCAGTGCGCCCCAGGGCAGCTGTGGCTACATCGTAGCTCATCCCCACTGGCGTGTGAATGTGTGTGTGAATGGGTGAATGACTGATTGTGTTGTAAAGTGCCTTGGGGGGTTCCAGGACTCTAGAAGGCACTATATCAAATACAGGCCATAAGTCCTGTAAGGGAGTCTGAGTTGCCTTCTGACACTGGCCTGGATGGTTATTTTAAGCTAGGACTGGACTGCAACTGCTGGTGGTAAACCATGTTTTCTAAATGCCTTAAAATATCCCCGATTTCCTGTCAAGTAGCAGGGCTTACCCTCAGAGAAGTCTGCGTTTAGGTGACATGAGCGTCATTTCCACCTGAGGTTTAAAGTGACCAGTTCTGATTCTGGAGCCAAACACGTACTTACTGACGTTCCTAATTTAATTTTAAACCTTTTGAAATCTTTACATTCATCCTAAAAAGCCTGGGATCGCTCTGCAGCAGCCAGAAACTGTGATTAGTGGTTAGTACTGACTGAGAGAAGTTTTGTTTAAGCTGCGTTCCGCATCATTTATCCTTCCTGTGCACCTCTAACTGATTCTGGTTGTGCTTTAAAGAAAAAAGAGAAGTGGCTGTTAGAAGTGTTTGCTAACCCCAGGTGTTTCCTGACTGAAGATCAGAGCGCATAATAAGTTCAGAGAGTCTTATTTACCTGGTAATGAAGGGATTGTCCTGTCCTTACGGTCTATCTCTCCAGCCTCTATGGGAAACATCTCCTTCAGAGATTTCTGAGAAACAAAACGTGAAACACTTTAAGTTTCAGGCTGAAAGTCTGAATGTGTTTCATCGGAGCTTTAAACGAGAACCAACATGGAAGGTGTGGATTTCAGGGTACGTCCTGTAGATCAGCTTCTCTCCAAGGTCGCTCCATTTCACCATCAGCATGTACACCTGCACAAACACAACAAAAACACCATTAAACCCAATTAATATTACTAGTTGCGTCTCTAAATGTTTAGATGTTAGAGTCTTACGTAATGCTGACTAGGGAAGAAGCGTTTCTCAAAGCCCAGCAGCTCCACGTGTCTGACGTAGATCTCCTCCATGATGCTGAAGATGCAACAGAGCGTCTGAGTCCAGCTGTGGTTAAAGACGGCCCATTCTGTGCTTTTGTAGTCTGCGTGCAGCTCGTCATCACTTCCTCTTTGCAACACTTTGGGCTGAGCAGAACTTCACCACTGAGGCAAAACAGGAAGGAATCACAAACCAGTGCTTTCACCTGGTAACTGGAAATGAAAGGGTTGATCTGGAGGTTCGCTTTTTCTCTTTGGCTTCTGGTTCCGACTGATTACTGTGGTACACTCATTATTTTTGTGTTTTTGGTGTGTTCATGCTTATATGTGTGTTTTGTCAGTGCGCCCCAGGGCAGCTAGCTCACCACCACCATGTGAATGTGTGTGTGTGAATGGATGAATGATAAACTGTAGTGTAAAGCAGGGGCGGCGTTAGGCCCGGCTACTTGGGCTGAAGCCCCGGATGTTTCATGGAAAGCCCCGGATCTAAATCGCGGAAGTAACATGCAGTACCAAAGTCCAACAGAGAGGGAGCAGCTGGCAGTAGTTTGTATACAGCCTGCCTGAGCCTCCACCACTGAAGAAGAAGCCTTTCAGCAGCCGGCTTCTTCTACAGTCTCTGCCTGAAACGCATGAGTGAAGATGGACATAAGGACGTTTTTTTAGACAAAAAGTACCGCAACAGAACCCCAGCTTTGATGAGACTGGTGCTGACTCAGGTTTGTGAGTCTTATTTGAAAATATTTGTTGTGCTGCTGGTTTGCCTAAAGTTAGCTTATTATCAGGTAAAGTTGATGGAGAAAGAAAGGGAATATTTACTATCATCTCACACTAAACACTAACAGGAACAATACTCTGCCCTGAAAATGCTTAATATGTTGCTTCAGATGAAAAATTATGTGGTACAAGACAAATATATATGATGTTGACTAGTGCGTGTCACGTGTGTGTGTGTGTGTGTGTGTGTGCGCGCGTGTGTGTGTTAAGCCCCGGATGTTTTTCAGTCCTAAATCCACCCCTGGTGTAAAGCGATTTGGAGTCCTCTGGCTCTGAATGACGCTATACAAGTGCGGGTCATTTATCATGTTTTAGTTTTTTTGTATGTGTGTGTGTGTGTGTGAATGTGTGTGTGTGTGTGTGTGTGTGTGTGTGTGTGTGTGTGTGTGTGTGTGTGTGAGTGTGTGTGTGTGTGTGTGTATGTGAATATGTGTGTGTGTGTGTGTGTGTGTGTGTGTGTGTGTGTGTGTGTGAATGTGTGAATGTGTGTGTGTGTCTGTGTGTGTGTGTGTGAATGCTTGCGTGTGTGTGTGAGAATATGTGTGTGTGTGTGTGAGTGATGTTATCGTTAATCGTTTTTATTTTTTAGCTCAGATGTATTTTGTTTGTTGTTTATTGCTCTTATTGTTCATCACGTGGGACGATTTTATTACTTTATAAATACATCTGGGTTGGATTTGATCGTTTTTATTATCCCAAAAATGTTAAATAGTTTTATTTGTATTTATTGTGTCTTTTTGGTATATTGGTGTGTTTTTACACGACACGTTGTCTTTTAGGGAATTCAGACTAAATATTGATTGGCTGTAACTGCTTTACAAATGAAAGATGAATGAAAGTAGACTTTTTGAACAGTTTTCTAAATTCTGTCTCATTTCAGGTACTAACACGCATTTCTCCTTTGATGAAAATCAGTAGATCTGAGAATGTTTTTGATACAGCAACGATATTCTGCTTTAATTATTCCAAACCAGGTGATAACAGATGACAGAGCTAACCTTCAGTCATTACACTTTTCTTTACGTTTTTCTTCAAATGGGTCCACGTTTATTGTAATTCCAGAACATTTGTTTATTTCTGTGTTGCTTTTAGGATGTTTTTTAAATGTTGTTGTTGTTTTTTCCTGTAAACTGGTCATAGATTGAGCGTAAAAGCTGTCAAGATTCAAAGAAGATTATTGTAGAGAACTGTTGGTCAAGACCTCCTTACACAGAAGGTCTGGTGGATTGGGATGAGTTTTAAAGTCGGATTTACTTGTTGCCATAGGCGTCATTTTAACCGGGGACGCCGGGGACATGTCCCCGGCAAAATTTGTGATTGGCAGCTGTGTCCCCCCCACTTTCAAAAACGCCTGCTGATGAGGATTTTTGTTTTACCAGCTCAGATCTTATCCAGGGGTCGGCAACCTGTTCCCATCAAAGAGCCATTATTACCCGTTTCCCACGGTAATTTTGGACGGACCTTAATAAGCAGTGACTTAAGTGAAGCAGGCAGGTCGCGCTAGAAAATTTAGTTTAAAAAGACGTCATAAATGTGTTCCCCCGTCATTTTTATTTATAAAATATGAAGTAAAAACTCACAATTTAATTTTCATTCATTTGTCATTAATATGTAGTCTACACCCGTGCGTTAAGTGGACCATCTTCCAGTAAAAGCAAAGCATCCAGCCCACCTCTCCAAATGCGTAAAATGTGCGTCAGCCGCTAGTTAGGCGCGCCACGCGCACCATCAGCTGATCAGCCCAGACAAGAGCAGAGCAACTAGAGAAAGAATAGAGGATAATTGTGTCTGGATGTGGATGAAGATTACGTTTTACATCAGCCTGATCATCATTTAAATACGTAAACCATCACCTGTCTTCTAGTCCACGCTATTAGCATTATTTTAATTGGTGTGTGTGTGTGTGTGTGTGTGTGTGTTTTCCACTTCAAACACTGGTCTAACCAACCAGACCAGCGTGTCCAGTAACGTATTAATGTTACAATTAAACAGTTTCACTTCATGTAGGCTAGGAACGTTTCACCTGCCGTGGCCCGACTGCTTCTGCTCCACATAAACTTTGTGCGTGATCAAATGTCTCTACGCATCATGCGTCTCCATATTAGAGACGGGAACAAGCGCTGTTCAGCCAAAGTTTCATAATTTCATAAAAAGAACATTTTTCCAAGTGACACATCCCTCAGAGAGACCGGGTTTCCAGACTGTTTCAGTGGGAGGAAATCATCGCATTCACCGTGGTTCTGCGCTGCGAACCCCTCAGATCTTCAGCTCACTGTCCACCGTGGGCGCTCCGAGCCACGCTGAACCAGTATAAAGCTCTGATGTTCTGATGGGAATATTTTACCTCCGCGATGTGCGTTAACGATTAAACTGTCAGCTCATCCATGCGCATCAGTGTGCGTCGGGGTGATTCTTTCAAACCAAGCAACATCCTTGAGTTCATCTGTCAAAATAAAAAGTCAAATGGAAATATCTGTAACCTGCCGTTTAACTGTTTTGCCTTCTTGTGAAGATTGTTGCAAAGAGAAACAATTAAACTTGATTAACCCCAGAGCCACCCAGAGCGCATGCGGGAAGTTTCCTCCCACTGAAGCGAGTGTTTTCCAAACCCTGTCTCTCAGAGAGACTTGTCACTTAGAAAATGTTCCCTGATGATGAAACTTTGGCTGAATAGCGCTTGTTCCTGTCTCCAATGTGGCGACGCATCCAGGAGCCGTCTGAGGAGAATCCCAGAATCTCACATCCTCTTCAGCTCATAAAGCGCCTATGATTACGCACAAGCGTGACGCGTCAACCCGGTCTCACAGTAAGACCGGGTTGGACCTGTTCAGGTTTACGCAGACAATCTTTACATGTAGAATTGGCATACAGATGTAAAATTAATGCAGTAAAATATAAAGCATTTTATTTAAATATCCATTCATTATTTTACAAACACAGAGAGCCGGATGGAAGAGCCGCATGCGGCTCCAGAGCCGCCGACCCCTGTGCTAGCCTACTTTATTGTCCCCAGCAATTTTTAAACCCCACTCAAGTGTATGGTTATTGTCCCCAGCAATTCTGAAAACAAACTGACGCCCTTGCTTGTTGCTCCTGGATTTTAGTTGAAAAAAGTCTTGTTTAAAAGAAAAGTGGTAGCTTTCACATCCCCTTTCCCAGGTGGTTTCACAACCATCCACACTATTAATGTGAAATATTTTTAAATTTGCCAGTTAAGTAAACAACCTCAAAAGAACCTAAATATCTGAAACTCCTCCTAACATTCAGTTAGCAAAGGAAACCGTAGTTTTCAGGAGGATTGGTGCTGCGTCTGCAGTGATGCTGGCGTTGTACTGGTCGGTCGTGGTGAAGAGGGCTGAGCCAGAAGGCTCCATCTACGCTCCTACACCATGGTCAGGAGTTTTGAGTAGTGACTGAAAGAACAAGATCACGAATACAAGAGGCTGAAATAAGTTTTCTCCACAGGGTGGCTGGGTTCTCTCTTAGAGATGAAGAAGAAGAAGAAGAAGAAGAAGAAGAAGAAGAAGAAGAAGAAGAAGAAGAAGAAGAAGAAGAAGAAGAAGAAGAAGAAGAGATATTTTCTATAGCGCCTCTCAAGATAAAAATCACGAGGTGCTTAACAAAAACAAAAAATTTAAAAATATTAAAGAATTAAGAAAATGGTTAAAAACATATTTAAAATGAGCAAAAAATAGACAATTGTTATAAAAAATGTTAAGAAAGAGAGAGAGAGTGAACAGCAAAGAGGGAAATCAGTGGATCCTGAGGAAGGTGGAATAGGTGGGGAGAGCAGAATAGAGACAGAGTGGTGAAGAAGGTCATACAAAAGCCAGCTTGAACAAGTGAGTCTTCAGCTGCTTTTTAAAGGAGACCACTGAGTCCACTGATCTCAGGCTCAGGGGGAGAGAGTTCCAGAGTCTGGGGGCCACAGCAGCAAATGATCTGTCACCTTTGGTCTTTAGACTGGTGCTGCACAACCAGTAGGCTTTGGTCACTGGACCTCAGGGACCTGTTGGGGGTGTAGGGACTAAGAAGATCACCAATGTAAGATGGTGCTTGTCCATGTAAGGCCCTATAGACCAGAACCAGGATCTTGAAATGAACCCTGAAGTTGACTGGCAGCCAGTGAAGCTGGAGGAGAAGCGGGGTGATGTGGGTGTGTTTGGAGGACTTGGTCAGAAGCCGAGAACAGGCATTCTGAACCACCTGTAGACGGTTCAGGGAGGTTCTGCTCAGACACTTGAAAAGAGAGTTACAGTAGTCTAAGCGTGAGGAGATGAAGGTGTGGAGAACTGTCTCAAGTTCAGAGCGGG